TGTTTCCACATTATCAGAAAATATTTCAGGAAAAGACACGTTAGCTTTCTGTTCAGAAATTTCAAATTTAATATATTCCAGATAGAAAACAGAGTTGAAGATATTTCTGCTTTTCCATACAGTTATGTTTTGTTTTTATAATACACCAATTAGACATGACAAGAAACATCCTAGATGAGAAAAACGTTGAAAATGTAGAGCGCTTTACATATTTAGGAAGCAAGCTAACCTATAATCTGGATTGCAAAAAAGAAATAGAGATTAGAATAACCAAGTCAGAAACAAATTTGAAAGCAATGGACAAAATCAGGAAAATTAAAGCAATTAGTTTGCAGACAAAATTAAAAGTATTGAACACATGCATCATCTCCTGCGTGCTGTATGCCTGAGAAACATGGGTAATAACAAAAGACGTGGAAAGAAAAATTTTAGCATTTGAAAGACACTGTTACAGAATGATCTTACAAATAGGATGGATGCAGAGAGTCACAAACAAAGAACTTTTTAATATGATATATATGAAAAAGAATCTCTTGCAAAAAATTATACAATGAAAACATTCAACTGTTTAGACACATTTACAAGAATGAATGAAAACAGAAAAATTAAGACTTTAGCCTATTGTATTATGGATGGATTCAACAAAAAAGGTAGACCATATAGAGAATGGATTGATGACGTGAAGAAGTGGTGTGGAGCGAATGTATGGGAATTGAGAAAATCGGCAATGGATGAGAGAAATGGAAGAAAATAGTTAAAAAGGCATCAGACACCAATGGGCAATGAGCCCAGGGTTAATGATGATGAATAATAATTTAAAAAAATTATTTGACAGGTTGGTTTTCAAATTAAATTGCAGAAGTAAAGGAAAAATTATTTATTATTTTTTTTTACTTTCCAAGTTGTTATGTTTAATAGAGGGAATGTAAGGAATGAGTCAAAAAATGACTTTCAATATTTTAAATTTTGTCTTGATAAACAGAAAATTTCATATTTATAAGATAGGTGACATTATCCTAGTCATCCAGTTATGCTTTTTGTTGTTTGCTATTGGTCTTGAGAAATTGCATTCTGTTTCTAATGTAGTGGATATAAACAGAATAAGAATGGAAACAATCTATTTAAATAATTTTTTTTCTGGTGATGTGGAAATGAAGCATTACTGAGTGTTCTCTATTGTCATTATTCTTGACATAATCTAATAAGAAATGCAGATTCACTATTAACTCTCATATTTATTTTTCTGTTAACAAATTATTATAGGTTATTATAGGAAAACTAATAATGAGAATATATCTCCTTAGAAATAAAAACAGAAATGTAAACAAGTTTGTGTGTAATATACATTGGCCAGTTTAAAAGATGCTTATGTATTAGTAAAAAAAAAGGAAAGACTCTGATACTTATAGCTTGTTTTAAATATTTTTAAACTACTTTATATAATATGGAAAGAAAAATGCTATGAAATATGAGATTAATAACCACTAATACCTTTTCTTACAATGCTAGTTTTATAATAATTATTATAATTTCTCAGACAGAAGAAGCTATTTACATAAACATGAGAGAAGGAGAAAGTTCTGTTAAAATAAATGTGTATATTTTAATTTTTTTTTCTAATATAGAAAGAAATATAATATATATATTTTAATTTGAAATGTTCTACATAAAAATCTTTTTGAAAGATTTGAGTTTTATATATATAAAAATAAAGAGAATTTTGGAAATTTATCTAGAGTAAAAATAGAGAGGTTGCGGCTGACATTTTCACGTTTTCATCGCAAAAACATGAATGTTAGATGTTCAGCATATATTTTTCACATTTGATTAGAGGAAAGTGATTTATTCAAACATTTGGGCTTAATACTGGCACATCTACTTCATTTACTTTGACAATCAATGTATACTTCTACAGCATGTCAACATTAAGTAAATTTTTCAGATGTATTTATTGCTTTAAAAGCTTTTTATGAAACCTAGTGAAGTGGACCAACTGAAGAGCATTTTCTAGTTTGTGATCAAGTTTGTATATCTAACTTTTAAATGAAAGTGCCAATTGCTTTGTGTAAAATTAGTCTAATTTTGATTGGCCTTAGTTAAACTCATTACAAGAGAAATCTACTAGTAATAAAAGTTGGCCTGTGTAGCATGGGTAAGGAATAATGCTTGATATTTTGGAGAAGAATGAAAAAATCTGTGATGAATTAAGCTTAAAATAAGCAAAACTTTCATTATTTAAGTAAAAAAATAGCTCGTAAAATTTTTACTTTTATCAAATTGAATGAAATATGAACGTTAGAGAGAACATTAGATCTTTAATTATCTTCAGACAGTTTTATTTGTTCTGAAATTTTGTGTTAAACAGAATAATAGATTGAAACTTGGAATTTAGTTCTGTCAATAGTATAGGATAACCTTGCAGATTTCTTTATTGTTTAGTTATCAACTCCATACTTTACCAACAAGACAAAAAACAATGCTAAATAAGTTACGGAAGTTGATAATTATGCCAGAAAGCTGTTCAAGCTGTCTTCTATACAAAATTTAATATGTCTGTCTAAGCAAAATTCAGGTAAACATTATTCTCACTTTGTACAGTATAAAAATTCTTTTTCTTGCAACAAATTGTGTAGTAACTTTTTTTTTAATATAAAATTATTAATTTGTATTGTTGGAGATTGTTAAAGTTGTTTAGTTTTTAATTATTTTAAGTGCTCTGCTGTATAAGAATAAATATATTCAATTTTTAGTTTATTATAAAATAGAATATTTTAAAAAATGTTCTAATTTCTGTTTGTGTATGTTGCATTTAAGATTGTTCTGATGAAGAATGTTTTCCTTAAAGTATACTTGAAGGCAACACACATTTTATTTACCACTGAACTACGACATTTGTTCTTTCTCTAATTATATTAGTGTGACGTCAGAATATATCTTCATAAATGATATCTAAGCTACAAAGTCTGATTAATTTTTAATCTTTCTTGTGAATATATGTGTAATGTAATAAAATATTAAAATATATTATCTGATGTTTGTTTTTAAATATCTGCTGACTTTGAGAAGAACTTGTCTAAACCAGGGGTGGCAACCTTTTGAGTCAGAAGAGCCAAAATTACAATTTACAAAATTTCAAAGTTTTTAAAGAGCCATAAAATTTTTTCTTGCCAACAATAAATAGTACTCGCATAAATAAAGTTTTTTGATAAAAAAAACTAATCTNACATTAGATCTTTAATTATCTTCAGACAGTTTTATTTGTTCTGAAATTTTGTGTTAAACAGAATAATAGATTGAAACTTGGAATTTAGTTCTGTCAATAGTATAGTATAACCTTGCAGATTTCTTTATTGTTTAGTTATCAACTCCATACTTTACCAAAAAGACAAAAAACAATGCTAAATAAGTTACGGAAGTTGATAATTATGCCAGAAAGCTGTTCAAGCTGTCTTCTATACAAAATTTAATATATCTGTCTAAGCAAAATTCAGGTAAACATTATTCTCACTTTGTACAGTATAAAAATTCTTTTTCTTGCAACAAATTGTGTAGTAACTTTTTTTTTAATATAAAATTATTAATTTGTATTGTTGGAGATTGTTAAAGTTGTTTAGTTTTTAATTATTTTAAGTGCTCTGATGATGATAAAAATAAACTGCTTTATTGTTTGAAGAAAAATCATTAAATTTAATATGAAATATTTGAGAATATTTCAAGTTTGTGATACATTTTTTAACAATTTTTTTAAATATAAAATTCCTAATGTTAGCAATAAGTAATTTTAGTTCCTTTTTTATTTTTAATAAATCATATTTAATAAATTTATTGTGCCTTGTTCTGCTTATAAGTTTTGGTATTAACTATTGAAAATATTAAAGTTAGAACGAGCATCCTGAAAGCTGAATTATGAGGGCCCGATACTGCTGCCCTTAAGGGTTCAGTAATGTAATTTTATTTTCATATTTTCTAACTTGTGTGATTATGTAATTCAAATTAAGCTGATATTTGTGACAAAGAACATTCAAATTAAACTTGACCAATTAAAATACGAGAATAAACTATATATTAGTAGTTTTATATTATCAGCATATATTATTTTATTATTTTAGTATCTAAATGTATTGACACTTCTGGAGCAAGTTTGTATTCAGCTGGCTGCTCTAAGAGCTGCTGCAAACTACAGGAAGCAAGAACTAGCATATGCTTGGTTGCGCTCTAAAGCTCCGTTTTCTTTTCCCCGAGGCTAAGAGCCATTTTTCCTGCTTGCACTTGCTAGCGTAACTGCTCTATCTGTTGAATTCTTTCAACAGCAAGCAGTCACGCATAATGATGCAAGCAACATGCTCACATCATTATGCTAGCAAAGGGGTAACCACGCGGCTGTGAAGAAAGAGGTGGGGGCCTTTGATGTCGTCGGGTATGCTACCACATGCTTGCTAGCATTTTTCTCTCTCAAAGCTGTAAGTTTGCGGTGACTTTAAGGAAAAATGCATGCGGCACATTTGAAATTACAAAGTTCACTAGTGGCCTACATCCAGAATTCGTTGCTCATCACTGAACTAAAATATGTTGTCAACTTTATATTTCAGAGATTTTCTTGTTTGTAACTATTTCTTGTTCAGTTCAAATTATTAATTACTATGTTGTGTATATTAATTTGTTAATTATTTATTTTATGCTGTATATTAATACCTACTTTGTGCTGTTTTTTAAAAAGTGCTTATGTTATGAGGCTATTTTTCATAAGTTTATTTATCATCATGTAATCACACAATTCGTTATTTTCATTACATAAATTATCTCGCTCAATTGAAATTTTTGTTTCTTTTTTAATAAGTGAAAGCTTCCTTTGAGATAATTGTTTATGATAAGTTCTGTTGAATATTTTTTTTTTTGTAAGACTTTAACTTATCAGCTGAAATTCATCTATATTTTTAGCATGTTTTAACACTTGTGAATTATTTACTAAAATTTATTTATTGTTTTATTAATTTTAACAGCAAATTAGATCTATACCGTCAAGAACTGTTCCATCTGTTACAAATGGTGGTCCTCATGACATGAACAAACAAGCTGTGTTATCGCAACCGTCGTCTGTGTCCAATATATATGCTTCAGTCTCGGGACCACAGCACACCCAAGCTGGGATGCCTGGTTCAAATCATGGGCCTAATACATTAGTTCAACAGACACAAACACAGTTACAGTCTCAAGGTCAAACACAATCTAATATGCAGGTAAATGATTCACGTTACTTTTCAATTTTAATATTATATATAAGAATTGATAGTCGTTTGCTTATTTACTTAATTTTAATAATAAATCTGCATGTTCCGAGATGTTTCATTACGAGTGTTTTTAATATATTTACAAATGTAAAAAAGTTTTCACTTAATATTTCATTAAAAGATTTTGCATTTTCTGAGAAGGATTTGCTATGGAGAGGTTATATCGCAACATTCTTCATCTGATCCATCCAAGAATGGATCAGACGAAGAATGTTATGATAAAAGGAAGACATAAAGCAGAGTTTCAGAGAGCCTATGGGCTATAATGAAGCAGAGGAGGAGGAGAGAGATGTAGGGAGAAGACTGTGTGAGGAGGAGTGATGGATGACAGCTTGAGGAAGAGTTCGGAACATGGAAGACTTGAGATGGCAATAAATCAAGCATTTTAAAGAGAAGTACCATCATCATTTTTTTTTTTTATTTTTGTGGAGGTGGTGATACATTATCTTATCCTCTGATTGTTGAGGTAATATGGTTTGACTTCATTGGGAAATGCTGAGAATGCAAAAAAAAAGCTCTCCAGGAAGAAAACATCAGATTAGCAATCCTTTATAAATGGGAATAATAAAGCTGAAAATGGTTTATTTATTAATGAAATATTGAAAAAAATTGCTGGATTTGTTTGAGAATATTTTAATGACAATTACAGGAATTAGGTAATCTGGCAAAATTCGAAAGTCTTTCAAAATCAATGTTTATGGAAGAACTTTGATTTTGAAGACAATGTAAGATTTCTAATTTTTATGATAAAGATTTTCCTGACATTTTTATTATATAAAATCCATTTTGATGAAGTGTAATTTATAAAATGAGGCATTCTGGAAACTCGATTTATTTTTAATATCTTCTGAATTATTCATTTTTTAATCTATATTTTTTTTATTATTATTGAGTTTTTATATTTTTCTCAACATTTCTTAGGTCCAGTACTAACATTCAAATTATTTATTCTAGAATGTTTAAAATTTATCATTCTTTACAAATTTTTAAATGTTAACCTTTCTTTAGTAACATACATTTGTATTAAATTGTCAGAATTGCATTATATTTTGTTTTCCATAGTTTCTGAAAGTTTCAGTGTGAGCTCTTGGAAATTTGTGTTTTTCTTCTTAAGTACTTGTTAGTGTCATTGTTAATACAACTCATGACCAATGTTTCCTCTTAAGTTTTGCAGCCATGCACNGGCGGCGGAAAGTATATATATAATTATAATAAAGTTACAATAAATTAAGTTAATATATAATTATATATACAGTACCTAATTTATATATAATTTATATATAATTATATGTACAGACGATACTAAACTCAATTTACCCGCCTAAACTGTCCATAGCGTGGCGCTGGACGGCGGAAAGTAGTTTGGCTGCCCAATGACGTTGTACGAAATTATAGGTGTTTTTTTACCGTTGTTTACAGATACTGCCACAATTTTTTCGCCGTCTTATAGGAATCGTAATTATAGGAACCTGTCTTATAGGGGGATCTACTGTATATCCATTCTCTGTAGTGATATGGGAATATCTTAAGCATAAAGTGCAGACTAAGAGCAAGGATTTAGCACTATGAATTTAATTAACCCAAAAAACCAAAATAGATTACAAGTAGATCATTTAATTGACCTTATGAGAATCAAATTGTATTTAGTTAATGGTATAACAATAAATGTGGATGTGTACAAAGTGTGAAGAAAAAAAGAGAGAAATTTCAAGAAAAATAACTAACTTTAAAGTGTAAATTTATTGTTAACATTGTATGTATGTCCATTCTTATAATTAAAACAATTTGTAAAAATATAGTACATGTTTAATGTTGTGTAGATTTTTTGCTCAGATGAATTTCTGCTCTGTGCAACTATAAAAAAGAATTAGAGGAAGCATTGCTCATGACTCTTGTCAATTTACTTAAGCATTTGTTTGAGTGTGCTGTATGCACTTCAGTGATCTGGTTACCTATAGTAGTTTTTCTTGTGGGTGCCAGAATATGAGGGTATTGATGGCAATGTAAATACTGATCTATTGAACAAGCCGGGTGCTTCGTACCCCTTTGTTTGGCCCAAATCAGCTTTTAATATTTGATACTTTCTTTGGAAGCAGTCTATTCTTTGTCTAGGAGCAGTCTAGCATGCTCCTATGGGTGAACTAAGGCTTTCTTGGCTTTTGATAAGAATTATGTTTGCTTTTTGGTTGATGTAACTGGCTTTGGGCACTCATAAAAATCTGTGCTAATGAAGATGTTGCTTTTGCAGATCTTTTCAGAATACTCCTCTGCATCTTATATGTGAATGTTTTACTTGCTTAGGCAGACTGGTTCCTCTGAGTTCCACTTTTTTGAACCTTGTGATATCTCAGCTTTCCTTCATAGGTTTGCTGTCTTTTTTTAAGGGAACATCTGAAATAATTTCTTGTGAGGATGTTCAAAGGATCTTTTAGGTTGAAGTGTAATCTGCTTGCAGGCCTGCACTTTCACAATTACAATAATACGACCCATGCAGGATGATCAAAAGTTTACTTGTGAGGAATAGATTGAAGTGTCTGGTGAGACAGTTCAACTGTCTCTTGAGTCCATAGTAAATAAAATGCTTAATATTTTAGTTTAAAAAATATCAAAATACTATATTTAAAAATTGTACAAATGTGAAAAACTTAAAAAAATAGACTATACGTAACTGAAAATATTTCTGATTACTATTAAAAGTTCTTTGCTGGACATTGAAATTTAGCATTTCAGTATTTCAAATAGTAATCAATCATTCACATGGCATTTTCTTTACAGAGAGTTGCAGTTGATGGACAGTTCTTCTCCACTCTTATCAGTAGGCTTTTCCCAAGCTTGAGCCAATTCAGTTTTTGATGTCCTGCCACGTTAGCCTAGGTCTTCCTTTTCTCTGCCTGCCCTCTATCATTCCTTAAACTGCAATTTTCATCAGTTCCCTTGAGGAACCTCTTATTATATGCCCAGCATATGCTGTTTTTCTTCTCTGGATGCTGACCATCAGGTTTCTTTCCATTTTAAATCTACCTGTTACCCTCAGTTACCCAACTTCCTAGGTACTCAAACATTTTTATCTTTTCTATTTTCTTACCATCCAACATAATCTTTAGATCTTTGTTTTCTTCTCTTGAGATTACCATAACTTTTGTTTTGTTCATGTTTATTTTCATTTAATATCTTGTTTTTCCCACTTCTTTTAATCTATTTAGAATTTTCTGTAATCCTTCTTCGGTACTGCAATGTCGTCAGCATACCTATGTTAAGATGTCCATTAATTCTTACACCTCTTTGTCTAGATTTTCGAATGCTTCTGTTATCATTCATTCACTGTAGATGTTAAAAAGTGTTTGGGACAAACCACATCCCTGTCTTATTCCTTCTTTAATATGAATCCATTTGGTATCCTCTCCTTGAAATCTGACCATTGCTTTTTGACTTTTATAGATGATGTAGATTATTCTCAGTAATTTTTTAGCGATACCTATTTTTTTGCAGAAACTTGCACAATGGTGTTTGATTAACACTATCAAAAGCCTTCTTGAAGTGACAAAACATAAAATTACTCTATTATGATCGATCATCCTTTCTCCTTTAAGTCGTATCATTGTAATGGCTTCACTTGTCCCTCTGCTTCTTCAGAAATCAAATTGTGACTCATCTAGTTCCTGATTTGTGGTTTTTTTTTCTATTCTTTGCTGTGTGATGTTAACTAAAACCTTTGAAGCATGACTTATCAAGTTAATAATATAACCCTATAATAAAAGCAAAATTCATATATATGTTTTTTTCAAAACAGCAATGAGAGATTTCATTCAAATGAAACAAAATTCGAATTGGTTTTTAAGTAATTTGTTGCTGTAATGGTTTATTTTTTTTTTTAATTTGATATCTAATTTGAAAGATGAAAGAAAATGATAGCAGTTTAAAGGTTTTTTGTAATTTTGAAGTGACTAATTGTGTTTAATATTGTGAACATATGTTTAATTCAGATTTATAATATTTGGATTAATGGGTCATCAAGTATGACATTAAAACAAACATATGTTTTTTATTTTATTCATATTTGCCCAGATGTTTTCATTCTTTAGTTTANGCTGTAATGGTTTATTTTTTTTTTTAATTTGATATCTAATTTGAAAGATGAAAGAAAATGATAGCAGTTTAAAGGTTTTTTGTAATTTTGAAGTGACTAATTGTGTTTAATATTGTGAACATATGTTTAATTCAGATTTATAATATTTGGATTAATGGATCATCAAGTATGACATTAAAACAAACATATGTTTTTTATTTTATTCATATTTGCCCAGATGTTTTCATTCTTTAGTTTAATATCTATAAAATAATAATTTTATTTTAAAGAACAGTGGAACATATTTTTTTCAGTTGTAAATACTTTAATTTATGCATTCAACAATTGAATTCAAATATTTTTATTTTTGTATTATTATTTTTTAACATGTTGTCAATAGAGTTAATTTAAAATGTAGAAATATAATTATATTGAACAAAAAATTAAATATTGGATTTGTTTAATTTATATTTTATTTTTGATTTAAATATTTTGTTTAATAATTTAAATTTAAAGTTATAATAATTTGAGAGAAATTTATATAATAAAGCTACATTGGTCTTACTGACATAAAATGTTTGAGTAGGAGCAAATTTCTTACGGAAAAATGAAATTGTGCATTAGAAAGAGGACATTGAATATATTGCCAGAAAAATCTTAATCTCAAAACAAAAAGACAAATACAAAGTCAAAGTTACTGAAATTGTGGTATAGCACTGTAATGATAGAACATACAGAAATGCTTATCTAGTCACCTTCAAAAAGCACTCTTTAATACATGTTCTATCAGTCTTGCCATTAAATTAGAATTCTTCAAATTAGAAGTTAAGACTATTTACGAAAACATTTAATTTTCGAGTTCTATCCATTAATCCTTTTCACACAACCACAGAAGTACCCGCTACATTGGTTTGAAGAAATAACTTCATTAAAGAACAAATAACAATAGGTGAAATTTCACATTATTAAAAACGATCAAACATCAGCCTTTTGTTTGAGGATCTGACGCTTTAACATTAAAAACAATAAGTAAATCTTCTCACCCTACTATCAAGTTTTTATCCAATTTGTATCAGGTTCTATTTGTTTTTAATTTTAAAGCGTCAGATCCTCAAACAAAAGGCTGCCGTTTGATCGTTTTAATAATGTAAAATTTTACCTATTGTTGTTGGTTTTTTTATTGAAGTTATTTCTTCAAACCAATGTAATGGGTACTTCTGTGGTTGTGTGAAAAGGATTAATGGATAGACTCGAAAATCAAATATTTTTGTAAATAGTCTTAGGAGATTTTCTTCAAATTAGAAATTGAGTTCATCATGATTTTTGTCATTGTTGGAAGTACTGTTGAAATGCTTCTTTTGGAATATTCAGGAGTTTGGCTATCACGCTCAATTTGGTGCCCTCCATGGTTTGAAAGTGTGTCCCTTTTGAGATCTATTTTCAGTGTATAGAATAGTTAAAAGTCACTTGGAGCAGAATCTGGTGAGTACGGTGGTTGAGTGCTGACAGGAAGTCTTTTGTTGACAAGGAATTGCTGCACAACAAACAATGAGTGACTCAATGCATTATGACGAAGAAGACACGATTCTCCATCATTTGTCACATCATTTTCTCTAAATGGCATCTTTCAACGTATGCAAAAATAGCATATAGAAATGAGCAGTAACACAATACAGGTAGTATGAATGCATGATGCATCACACTGAATCAAAGAATGCAGTTAGCATCACTTTTCTTCAATTTGACAAGGTGCAATTTCTTTGGTTAGAGAGATAATGCTGTATTCCACTCTGGCTGCATGATGAACCGAATATTCTAGCACAGCGCTGTCCAACTGGCGGCCCGCCAAATAATTTTTACGGCCCGCGAGTACATTTTACTATGAATAAATTTATGTTACTAAATTATTATTATTAATAAAATTATTTTACTACCGTGTTTCCCCGAAAATAAGACAGTGTCTTATATTAATTTTTGCTCTGAAAAATGCGCTAGGTCTTATTTTCAGGGAATGTCGTATTTTTCCAGGAAGAAGAATTCACATTTATTATTAAACAAAAAAATTCCCAAGTCGAACTTAGACGAGAGTGACGTATATCCGGTGTGTCGAACTGTCGCCTTTTTATAGCGTCAACATCGGACTCGCTGACCAATTAGTGCTTACTGAACCGTAGCACTATGCAAATGTCATGTGGTTTATCAACCTTCTTGGCCCCCGAAATGTTTGGTGAAGAAAATATGGCCCGCGGGCTATGATAAGTTGGACAGCGCTGTTCTAGCAGACTTCCAATAGTATTTCCAACAATGGAAAGATTGATAGGGGTGTGTGTTGGAGTGTGCTACTCTGAAGGTGATTAGGTAAACATTTTCATATATCCTATCATTATACTGCTATACCACAATTCTAGGTTCATTTTTACTGCCTAAGTATTTTAAGTTGTGGTATGTGAAAGTTCAACCCCGACACAGACTGTCACAATGTTTATTAGATTAGCTTAAGTGCTGTGTGCTTATTTTTAATTTATTTATTCTACATTATTTTAAATAACAGCATTTTCATTTTGTCTTGCCATCAATTGTTCATTATTAGAATTTTAACTATTATTTATAGTTTTTTTTAGCTAAATGTGGACATAATAAACTTTTAAACAATATTATCTGTATAAGTTGCAACATAGATATGAGAGCATTGAAAAGAGCTCTCATATCTGTGCTGATCACAAAAGGTGGTCAGGTAGTTCATGTAATAAGAATAAATTGAAGATGATTCAAAATATTGAATTTACTTGTTAGACAATTTGCTTATGCAGGGTGACATTTTTTTTCTAAACCCTTCATACATAGTTTTATTATGCAGTCACTTGTAAATCACAAAATGTTATGTGAATGTACGTTTGCACATGTTTAGTCTTTGTGGAAAATGTTTAATTTGCCACCTTACAAAATGTTTAAACTAAGCACTCAGTAATATGTTTGGTGTTATGTAAGCATATGTATTGTGGATGTTTCATCAAGTGGTGGTTGTGATTTTATGAGGCAACTCTTTTTTGACTTGTTCTAAATTAAATATTTGATACATTGCATTAAAAAGTATTAATAGATAGGTAGCAATTAATTTTAAATCTTGCATTCAAAGGAAAGTATTGCCTCAGATTGGGCTTTTATAATTGGGTCATTTCCTTTTGGTTGAAATTATAGTGCAAGAGATTGAAAGACGAAAAATTGAATATCTGAATGATGATTTGTATAAATATAATGAGGATTAGTATGAAAATATTACATGGAATTTAAATTTTATTTATAAATGCTTCTATCTATCTACATACTAATTTTATTTAATTGTCTGTAAGGTATTATTATATCTTTGATGTTTTCTGATAGATATAATAGGCTGTTGAGAAATATATAAATAGAAATTAGTGTGAAAAATTATGGAAGTAGACAGACTAATAAAATAAGAGAAATTATATATGGTAAAACTTTAAAAAATTTTATTTGAGTTTTTAAAAATTCATTCTACATAATTATCATATAAACATCGGTAGGATGACAGCTTGGCAATAGGAAGCTATGGTAAAGAATTTGACGTAAGAGGGCTGTTGGAAGTTACATTAAATATTGTTATTGACGGAACAGTTCCATTTATATTGACATTAGATTTGAATTATAAAAGTATGAGTATGGAGTCCTGTAGAAAGTCATATATGAAAATGTTTTGAGTAAAATAAGATGTCTTAATGATAAAATATAATGCAGTATAAACTTACTCTTCCGAATTAATTAGGGCCAAAAACCTGTTCAGATTATCCAGTGTTTTGGATTTTTCAAATTTTTTATTTTCCAGTATATTTGTTTAATATTAATGCAGATTTCTCAACATACTGTATTCAATGTTTTGAGAATTGAAATACCCAATTTATTTATAGGGGGTTTGGCCTCATTATGAGTAAGCTTATGACAAATAGGAAGGAGAAAAACAGGAGATAAGCCTTTGTTTATTCGGATGACAAATTTATTTTGTATACATTGTATATTCTAGATGGCACGTGATATGATAGCCATATTTTTTGTTCAGAGGTGGGAGCAGATATCAATCTAGATTTCCCTCTGTTAAGATTAACTGGAATTTCAGATTATTAGTCTTCACAAATCCAAATGTGATTTCCCTTCCATTTGGATTAGTGAGATTCTACTATAATTTGAAAATTGCTTTACTAATTTATAAGCTGAACACCTAAGTAAAATTATAATTAACTTGCATTAGTTTTTTATATGGGGGAAGTAAGAAAATTACAATTTTCAGTTTACTTCTGATTTTCAATTAATGTAATATATAACAACTTGAATTCTTATATTATGAAATATTAGATTGTTTTTGTATTTATTAATTTAAAATGTTAAAAATTTTCTAGACTTATTTTCATACACGTCAGAATACTTCTAACGCACTACCATACAACACACGAACTAGTGGTATGACAGTTATATCATCATCAGGAATATCATCAAATGCTCATCAGTATACAGGACAAATGTCTAACAATAGTATGTATGCAGCTCAGGCTACCTATGGAACACACATTAATTCACAGCCAATGATTATACCTTCTGCTGTGCCAATGACAATCCAAGTAAGTACATTTCAGATCTTTCGTACTTCGGAGTTTATTGAATAAATTTGACATAAACATTGTAGCGTTTTGAAAAAGAGTTTAATATCCTTATTAAAAACGTTCAATAAAACAATCAAATTTTTCACAGAGAATACAATTTTATACTGAATTTGAAGGCATTTTATGTTGATTCCCAAGTACTTCTGTACCAATTAAATTCATCCAAAAACTTGCTAAAAATACTGTTTTAGCAGTATTTTAGATGGCTTCATTGGTCTGAAAGTTCTTGGGAAGACATAAGTTAATTTCTGACTTCAATAAACTAATTTTTTTTGTAATAATTTGCTCTTATTTTTGCAAGATTTTTGTCTATCATAACAATTTTATTATTATGCTTACACTCTGATGACAATATAAGACTATACAAAGTAAAAATATTATGTAGGAAATTAAAATGTAAAAAACTAAGATTCAGTTTTCTATTTGGAAAGAGATTAAAAAATTTATAAAATTAAAAAAAATATATATTTTTTCCCTTCTCTGTTGAAAAATATAAAATCTTAAGATTTTTTTAAATATAATTTCAATATATTGATGATATAATGGTTAATAATTAAAATATTTTTTCAGTATTCACAGAATCAATTCCAGACTGCCCAATATCCTATTTCATCGTCGCAGCATGTGATATATCGACCAAACAATGCACATACATACTATAATACTTCTGGTACAAGTAAGCAATTATTATACTGTTACATTTTAAAGTTTATTTAGAAAGTATCTCATGAAACATTTTAGTCTGTTTTTCTTTAAATACTAATTTCAAAGTAGCAAATTAAATTTTATAAAACATCCCGAAGCTCTATTATTAACTATGTGTGGCTTAAAGTTAAATTTTCTTACAATATGCAGTTTCATTAAAATGTATTAAGTTAACTAATAAATAAATTTTATTTTAGTGTATTTTTCTCCTATTCAAATACCTGGTGGAAGATCAGCAAATTCCACTAGTTCAAATACTACATCTTCAGTTCCTCCCAAAAGGAAAAAAAAGATAATATGCATACAAGATCCATCTGGCAAAGTTATTACTGATGAAATAATTAATATGAATGCAAATAATGCTAATACAAATGTTGGAACAAGCTCACAAAACGTAAGTTGAAATTCATTTTAACTTATTTAATTATCTTGGTAAAGTTGTACAATATGTTTCGGTTATATGACTGCGAAAGTTACACAAATATTGCTTAAATTTGTTTAAAGAGAATAAGTATAAAATCTGGTCTATTAATAATTGTTATTAATGGTCATATTTTTAATTGGACAATATTCTTTGAATTCTTCAATAATACTTTTGAAATACGTAGTATGATACATTGCTTTAGTTGAAACTGAATGCTTTTGGCTAATCTATATATTGATAAACCTTTTTTAGTTTAATATAAATGTACTTGTTAATTTAATAAACCAAGTTGTTGTTAGTGGTTTTTTTTCTTATCTTTTCCTTGATAAGGATAAGTAACTGATAAGGAATTGTAACAGAGGAGGTATTAAAAGATGGAGATTTAGATGGATTGGGCATTTGGAAAGAATGGAACCAGAGAGAAAGGTATATATCAAGTGTATAGAGAGAGACCAGAGGGAAGAAGACTGAAAGGGAGACCACGAAAAAGATGAAGAGGATGTGGAGGATGATTTGAGAAAGATGGGTGTGAATGGCTGGAGAAGGAAAGCCCAAGACAGAGGAATGGATGAAAATCCTGGATGAGGTCAAGGTCATTCAAAGATTATGAGGGCCAGGGAGGGAGAGAGAGAACAGGAGGAGGAATACTGACTTCACTCTCCTTAAACATAAACTTCTAATTTATCAGAAACAACTTAGATAATGAATAATTTCCCCATAATCATTAATTTTTATGCATTATATTAAAATTATTCCTAGGTTTCTGGAAAATGCCAAGTTACTTAAATTTTATATTCCGATGAGATGTTTGTTATGAAACATCTAAATTTAAGAATTTTTATTTGTTTTTTTAAATTGCTCGTTCTGTTTTAAGTCTCTTCTGTAATTTTAATTACAAATCAGTTTTGAAGTAGCCTTTGAATTTTTAATTTTGTATATTAAGTTTTGTATACAATAAACTCTAAGTCTGATGAAATAATTGTCAGTTTGTGTTCAAGATATTGATTAATAATAATAATTTGAAGTTTGCCATAAGAAGTCTTCAATCTTGATTCACTGAATAAGTGTTTCTGAGAAATGATTTAAGTAGTAATTGCATATTTGTGTAGTTTTTTTTTGTTTTTGAACAGATTTTAATGTATATATTTTTCTTTTTAAACATCAGATAAATATTTCACAGTTGTATTAATTTTTTATAGTAAAATCACTTTTGCATACATAAATTATATTATTTGAATTAATTTGGATTAATCCTAACTGATTCCCACCAAGCATGCCTGTGCCTGTTTCATCTTGCTTGCCCTTTTCCTAATCCCAAGAGGGTCCCAAACAACATAAAACTTGTGACTTCTAGCCTATTCTGCAAATATAAAATATATAGTATAAAGAAACTATTGAACAATATTTGTCCATTAATTCGTGCAACTTCATCATATGTTGACCAAAATTCCATTCCTTGTTTCCAAGGCCAAGTTAGCCCAAAGTGCAACCAATGCCACCTTGGAGTGCTGATTTGACATTGAATCACAGTTTGAAGCTCTTTACATAATGTATTATGACTTTCTTTTTTTTTTTTATAACTTGTGTCTCCTCTTCTTAATAGTCTGTGGATGCCCCTGATTCAAACTAAAGATGGGAGTATTCTAATGCATGAATTGAACTACTATTTGCAAAAAGTTCTTGTTCAACTACCTGACACGTGACAGCGAACAAACCAATTAGAGTTGAAAAAACTAGTGTGGCTCTGCTGCCAGAAATTGTAATTTCATTACATTAGTAAAGACCAAGTTATGATCTGTCTTCTCTAGAAATTTTAATACTTCAATTGTTTTCTTCAATCTCTAATTATCAACACATCGATTAATAACTTTATTCAAATACTTGGTACTAGTTACTAAGTACTCCATTCAGGGCAAACTGGCATCATGTTAACTTATTGTCATTGTTTTCACATATTACATTTATTGATTGTTCTGAAACTCATTTGATTCTGCCCCTCATTAATTCCAACAAAGATTAATATTAGGAGTCTACATGGGAATTAACCCTTTGTCACATGACTTTTGTTTCTGACGAGGCTCAGAATAATTCTCAGAACATACAGTTGTTACTGGAGAACATGACAATCTATCTGGAGACTATCTCAATTAAATTTTCATTTAAGTGAAATTATACATCCCTCTAGAGCAGTGATTCTCAAACTTTTTCGATCCACCGCCCCCTTTGTTCCATAAAGTTATACCCAACACACCCTAACCCATTTTCTCTTGTGTGAGAAAAGGATTGGAAATATTCTTAGGAAAACTTTTCTATGAATCTCACACTTTGTGCCCTTACTGTACATTGTTCTCATCATCTGGAAACCATTAAACGCAATGTTTCCTCTTATCAGCCCCAATTTTGCCTTTGGTCACCGTTCAATACCCTGCCTCTATCATAGATCTATTCATCGCGCCAGAAGGGGGGTATTGCTTACTTTGAGAAACGCTGAGCTAAAATAAAAGTCAATGTGTTAGAAATATTCAAGTTGTGACCTTCAATAAAAAATAAAAAATATATAAAATGTCAACATTTTATATATATTCCGTCGAATTTTTATATATAGAATTTGTCTGCCGTCGCCCCTCTATATTTCCTTAACGCCCCCCAATTCTCTTTGAGCCTTATACTGCCCCCTGAAAGCCTCCAGCGCCCACAAGGGGGCGTTATCGCCCACTTTGAGAAACGCTGCTCTAGAGGGTGCATTAAAAAAAATAATGAGTTTGTTATAAACTGTGAAACTGTCAGCATTACATCAAAAACTATAATTATACATTTAATTTCTTCATTTTGTCTTCCTTCTAGCGACACAAAATACTTGTGGAATTTCAAAAGTGTTTTTTCTTGTGTATTTTATTGTTATTTGATTCAAAAATGCAAAAATAAACATATTAAATTTAAGAAACTTGCTGTAAATTATCTCGGCTTACACCATTAACATTGGCTTTGTGTGAAATGCGAGAGGAATGTGTTATTTTTAAGGTCAAGGTAGCCACACTGACCTCCTACTATGTCAATAAGTCATTAATTGTTTTATTGTCTTGTAAACGAAAACTCTTCCTGATTTTAAGTCCTCAAAGTACAATGTTATTTTATTGTACTCCAAAGAATGTTTTCTTTAACATGTAATTAACAACTAGTTTTGTTAGATCTGATTAATTTTATTTTTTAGTCGCAGTTTAACCAGCATGCAGGTGACCCTGGGGCTTCCGGCATGCTGATCTCTCTCTCCTGTTTTATGTGGCATGCCGGTCATTCTGCAAAAATACAGTAAGATTTAACACAGAAATTCATTCCATTTTTAAAGAATTTTCTTTATTTCAGCAGGTTTGTTTTATTCAGATTTCATTTTAGACAGATTTTACTGTATATGATTTCTTCTTAAAAAACAGAGCTTTTTCTAGCAAATACTGGTGGTAGATACTTTAAGATACTTGCAAAAACTTGTGTTGTTCTTAAAGAGCCTAGTCCTAATATTTTTTAAAAATATATTTGTTTTTAAGTATAATTGTTCTATAAATGATTATTAGACAATACTCCTAAAATCAGCATGAAGACTTTAGGAAGCATCTTCAAACTTAAAATGTATGAATGTTAAAATATACAATAAAATAATTGAGTAACTTTTGACTTTTTTATAACTTTTTATCAATTTAGGACTAATTTGTCTTTTATTTACAGATGCTGTAGTAATACCAAACGGTGACTGTTTAAGAGAAAGTAAACTGCATGCTTTTGTTGCAAAATTAGTCAATAAGAGGTTTAAGAATAAAATTCACTAGTTGTCATGGTAAACGTGCTGTACTTTTTCTAATAGCTCTTACTGACTAATTCTACAAGCCAAAGCATTCAGTTTACTTTCTCTTTTCCATTATTTGTGGTCACTAATAAAATTTGTAAACAAGATAAATTATTTCTACATTGACAATAAAATTATGTAAAAACATTAAAAGTTAGGTTTTATGTATGTGTGTAGTATCAACATTTATATTTCATCAATTAAAGATTTACAAAATTGCACATGAATATATTTTTATAATTTTCAATATTGATATTGGTTCATTGATTTAACTGCAACAAAATTATTGTTAGATTTTTTTTAATCAAAAGTTATAAAATGTTCTAATTCAAAATTAGGATTCAACCCAACAAACTTCCAGTATAGCTGCTCAGTTTGCCGAACAAGTTGCAGCACTAGCTTCAAGGACCTCACCTACATTATCTTCCGCTTCAACAGATACAACTGAAGGAAAGCTTAATCAAACAGAGGTATTTATTATTCATTCTTTTTATTCTAAAAATTTATAATTAATGTTTTTGATAAATAAAACTGATTCTTAGACATGGTATCTTTGAAACTCTTGCAAATGTTTATCTTCAATATAATTTTAATGTTCAATAAATCTGAAATAAAAATTTTTAAGAATTTTAATAAAATATCAGCATAATTTGATTCTTCTGAATATTTGAGTTTATTGAATAAAATGCATAGAAGTTATTTCAAACTATAAATGCAAAACACTCAAAATTTATTTATTGAAAGTATCCCAATATATTATCATGCTTATGTGAAATGGATCCAAGTTTACAATTTAAAGCTTAAATTAAAATATAAAAAAGCATTTTAAAGAACATTTATTATTATGTGGTTTTTTTTTAATTTTGTTTATTTGTGTGTTAAGTGTAATTATTTCAAGAATATTTTTTTCAATTATATCAAGTGAACAGTCAGATTCCTTTATCGGACTAAATAATTACTAAGTAATTTGGCAGGAGGTAGACAGTTAGGTTGTCATCTCTTGTGAAATTTAATCATTCAAAATTTAATTAAATTTCATTTTAAAATATTCTAGAAGAAAAGATGTGACTCAAATCAACAATTTTTGATTATCGTTCATACATGTTGCCAGTTAAGCCACCCTCACCTATATCTGATCTTTGCTTTCAGACTAATTTAGATATAGCCATTATTTATTTAGCCTTAATAGCCTAATAAAGGAATGTGCTGTTTGTTTGATATTTGAAACAATTATCAGATTGGTTGTATTTAATATTTTTTTCACGTGAAATTTTGTGGATAATTTTATACTTTTTACAGTAAACGTGTGCTAAGTTGGACAACCTTCACCTACTATTACGTTGTTGCAAATGAAATGGCCAATTTTTACTTCTTACATTGAATGTTTATTAATTTAATTTAAAACTTGCATATTCAATCAGAACTGTCTCCACCAACATTAATATACTTTTCCCAACACATTAGAAATGCATTAATGCTATTGAGCTTCTTGACTTTCCCTAACATGTTTAGATGTTGAGAAATGGTTGTATAATGTTCAGTACGTTCAATCTATTTATGATTTTCTGGACAGTAAAGTGTTCTTCAGTTCTGATTTTTGACATTTATATTCCCAGAATGAAATTTTTTTTTAAACCAATGCCTGGTGGCCTGCTCGCTCACAGAACCTTCACCAAAAAGTTTTATTGGCATTCAGGTTGCTTTGACTGTGTTGTGTCCCTGCTTATACTCAAAAAAGAAAATCTATTTGAATTCCTTTTTTCATCAGAAAAAGTACTCTTAAACATGTGGAACTTGCAATATAAATGAGATTACATTTCTAAATTCACTTATTATATATGTGCTCTTCCAATTGAAAACATACAGCACTGTTCACATGGAAAAAACTGAACTTCAAGGCTGCAAAGTTTAAATTAAAAAAAAAAACAGCTTTTTCATTTGCAACAACCCGATATCAGTCTAAGTTGATGAATGTCAGTCAGCAGGGTGTTTTCTCTGATGACTGAAAAATGAGAAGGTGACTATACAGTACAGTAATTTATTACAATCGGCTCTAGACAGAAGTTTTACTGAGGTTTAGTACATTAACAATATCCGAATGATTATTAAAAGATTGTCATAACTATTGAGGAGTATTTAATTCTTTTTAGTTTAAGAAAAGATAGACTGTCGAGAATAAATAAAATTATTCATTATTGAGCTAGCATGACAAAAGCAAGACACATTTTTTTCTAGTTGATTGTCAATATACACTGTTCTCACCAAAGTAAGATGTATGGTCATACCGAAGTGATTAAAATTCAGCCAAAAGTTTTTGCACTAGTTGCTGGAGTTGTGGACAAAATACTATTTTGACACTCGCTGTTACTTAAGCTTTGCTGTCTAAAGACATTGGCCTTTAATTTTGCACATTCAGCACTTTTGTATAAAAGTATTATATAAAGCAGCTGAGAATTTGTAATACAGTAGAGCGTCGTTTATCTGAATCGATTGGGGACTGAGGTTGTTTGGATAACTTATTTTTTGGATAACCAATTATGTACGAAAAAATATATTAACCTATCCCATGTTGAAATTTTTCTCCGTTGCGTGTCGCTTCCCGTTGAATTTTCGTCGATGTAAGCCTAACGTAAACTTTTTAAAATAATAATCATGGCTAGTGTATCGTTAAAAATTATTTCTTTATTTTTTACAAACAAAATAAATATATTGAAAAATATAAACACAAAAAAAATTATACTTTAGAAGTTGATCTAGTTTCAAAAACGTTCAATTCAGCACAACACAGTCCTCAGAAAAACATCACACACAAGTGCCAGTGCTGCCAGCTAAAACACACAAACCAACAATAAAAATATTGGAGTAGCCCAAGATACAGCCAAAGATTGCAGCGACACAGTACTAGTGGAAATTTAAATTTGCCAACTGGAATGCTTTCAGTTAACCAACGTTTCGGATAAATGACGCTCTACTGTATATTAAAACTGAAATATAGTTTGTAAACAAATTTTCTTTTGAAAAAACCTTTTTAAAAGTGAATTAGTTTTTAAATCAATTTATTTATCTTCATTTAAAATTCTAGGATTCTCAAGCATTTTATGAAGATAGTCCACAACGTTACAATTTAGCAGAGAGTCTAAAATTTCCTCCGCCATTAATATCTGCAGAACAGCTTGATAGTTGCATAGAAATTTCTCCGTCTCTACCGGAAGAATTAAGTAATGTCGCAAGTGAAAAATGCAATAACGTTGTTGATAATTGTATACATGAACATCATAGTAGTGAGGAAAATATTAATTTATCAAAAACAAATAATATATCTGTTACCCATGAACATTTAGAAATTAATTCAAATAAAAAGAATAATTTTATAAAAGAAAGCAATATAGAGGATATTAAAGTAGATGATTCTTTAAAAGAAAATTTAGATAAAAATAGGGAGCAAGAACAAATTCAAATTGACGAGAATTGTTTTCCAAAAGAAACAAAAACCGAAAACATTCCTAGTGTCTCTGAATTCACTCCCGAAGACGTCGAGTTATCAGAAGATAAAAGTGAAAATGTTGAATCTGTGACAGAAAATGAAGATACTTCTAAAGAATTAGAGGATTCAAATAAAAACTTACCAGATGAAAAGTTGACTGATTCATCTAATTTGACTGATACTGTTGTTATTGCTACTAAAACTGTTACTCCTACAACTATTACTGCTACTGTGAAAAGTGAGACAGTTAAAGATACAGGATCTGAAAAAAGCAATCGTACACACAGTGCAGATGCATCATTAAATAATGAAAGCAAACCAGAAGGTAAGTTTTAAAATATTTTATATAATTAAGTGTTCATTTTTTTTTTATAAAAATGAAATGACTTAATACTCATGTAATAATTTAGAAACATAGAAAGATTATTTTCAGATGTTAACTAGTTAGTTACAAGAACTTCAGAAATTTCAGACCTAGGCTCGGATTCACAAAAGTGTCACAGTGCAACTTATGAAGAATGTTCATCTTAAGTTACAATATGACAAAATTTGGTACTTGCTTAACTTGTCGTAACTGAAAATGTCATAAAAAGTGTCATAATATCATGACATGGAGTGGGTTGTCATAAGTCAATTCAAGGTGGTTGATGAGTATTTAGCTTTCTCGATTGACATGCTACATAATTCATTGAAAAATTTTTGTTTATTTTGTCTGTCGATCAAAGACATTTTGTTAACAGAGTTAATCTATCGAATGGAAACAATTTTTAGTTTAATTGAGGAACTGAAACCTCATTTGGAAATGTATATGCTTCTACATACATTAATAACACTATTTGTTTCTTTGCAAATTAATCTCCACTTAATACTTTTTCCATGAAGTAATAGTTGGATGTATCCTCGATTATATTATTATTTTTTTCTTTAACTCCATCTATCAACACCTGTATTTTGGAAGAAGTAAACCAATGCCTTCTTTTTCTCTCTCCCAGTTTATCACCAAAACTCATGACTGAGACAACTTTCACCATTTGAAAGTTCCTGAACTATATTCCTATTGGACAAAACAATATACTCTTGAAATCAGATCACTGATATTTTGTCATAAATAGTAAATCCAGTTATGATGAGCTTTGTAAATTGCAGATACGATATGTCATGAATTTGCTGTATTTAACTAAATCGCAAGAATATGATGTTGTAACTAACAACACTTTTGTGAATCTGGGCTTTAATTAGTAGATTATTTTGAGTTGTGAGTGAGTAAAATTCTGGCCTCCTTAGGCTATGGTTTTGTAATTTCTTGAAATATAGAATTAAAATACTTATTCGGGTCAAACCTGTTAAAGGACGGTGATTGTTATGATACAATAGAAACTCAAGTTTTGAATGTTACCAAAAGAACAGCCTGTTACTCTAAAGCAGTGTTTCTCAGTCACCAGACCTTGGATAGTTGTATGTAACAAAGTATACAGTAATGCTAGATGAGCATAATTCTTAGTTGCATATAATTACTGGTCCATGTAAAATTATTCATAACTATATCTGTCTATGATGACAAAATGATTGAGAAACACTGCTCTGTAGATCTGAGCTGTAGTCTTGGCTGGAACTTCAAAATTTTGTTGGTTGTTTCCCCTAGTTATGTCAGGCTGAGTTTGTTGGGCTTGTAAGAGCCATGTCTGCAGGTTTGAGAGAATTTAAAAAAAAAATCTCGAACAGCAACAACTTCTAAATGTTAATAAAAATTAAGCATATAAATTATTTTTTTGAATGATAAACTACATTTACGGTAATTGTTAAATTTAATAATGAAAATATATTAAGAAATACTAAAGGAATATTGTTTGGGATAAATTGGCACAAATAGAATCAACAATTAGAATTTAATAATTAAAATTTTACAATGCTGTTAATAGAATGTCATGGTCTTGCGAATTATCATGTATGGGCAATGTAGTCAATATTATGAAGTTTTCTAGTTAAAATACAGGTAGCCCTCGGTTTATGCCGCAGTTCCGTTCCTACAAAAGCCGGCACAAATAGAATTGGCGTAAAATGAACCCATATTTACAGTGAGGTATTGGGTTAGGTTCTACATAAGTAAAAAATAAGCAAATAATTTTGTTTAGTTATACAATATAATACAAAATACATAAATTTAATTTTTAAAATGTATTTTATCATAAAATAAAGTGAAATGTTTTTATTAAAAAATTTTAGTTTCGGATCTCTTACATTTTTCGGAAAAAGTATCCATCTTTAATTGTTTTCATTTTTGTTTTCTTTCATTAAGAATTCGGAATATGGTCGAATCGATGCTATTATGCTCCTTTTTACATTTGCGCTTCACTCCCAATTATTGTCTAACTCACAAAGTTTATTTGTCAAACTTTCCATAGTTGAAATATATTGAAATATTATAAGGATATGTTAACCCGATGCAGAGCTACAGACGAACGAAGACACTGATTGGTCGACCACCGGTCGCCATAATGCATATATAAGGTCAGTTTTAGCGGGAAAATTGAAGGTGGCTAAGGAGAGATGTATATCATCTGACTGACAAGAAATAGATATTGTCTGGCTAATAAAAAAAGTATCGTCTGGCCAACGAGAAGTAGATTTGTCTCACTAATGATAGTTTGTGATCGCCGGAAGTGCTACTGCGTCGTAAGGTGTTTTCCTGAATGAACTGATACGGGATACATTCATTTGCGCTATGGATTCGGATGCCATTTATTGGACTATTAAGTTTAATAATGTGAGATCTGAACGGCCCCTGGGTCTAAAAAATTAATTTTATTAATAACGTTAAATATTGTCATAAAATTTTGGTGAGAAATTAACGTTTTCCAACGTGGGAAAAATAGCTAACAGATGTTACTTCCTTCGAGGGAAGTTAGTACATCCTCTGTTTTTCCCTTATCTGCGAAAAACCTCGCTTTGATGGGAAATGTTTACCCCTCATATATTCCCCTTTTTGTCCGTTCCCACGGAAGAATCTTGTATGATGATTGGTCGCCAATCGTCAGATATAGCGGGAATTTATCAGAATTCGGGGAGTTCATCGACAGACCTGGAAGAGTCAGGACTCCATACATATTTGCTCCTAAAGGCCAACGCCTATACTATGAGCCATACAATATACGAAGGATTGAGTCTAGGAATACACCCAGTTAAGTTGATCTCTCCAGAGGAAAGAAGACAGAGAATTTGAGGAGTGAACAAATACTTCATATACAGAGCCGAAGAGTAAAGACAATGATCAGGTTGTATGTTTGTAAATGATTTTGTGAGCTCTCAATCGCGTATCGGTTAGATATAAATCCCTATCTCGCACGACTTATAGACTATAATTAGTAGTGGTAGTCTCCTTATCATATATTTGTATTCCCATTATTTGTTTACATTTAATTAAATTTACTCTTGTTTATTTTATAAAGAAATGTCTCTCAATTATTACCTGAATAAGATTGACCCACGCGTGTTTATCCGCGTGTAAAATAACTGATAAACTGGTGTCTGGAACCTGACAAATTCGGATAGAGACTTTACCGTCTTCAATCCTCCTTAGACCTAATATTATTGCCCTCCCGGTCAAAATCCTGATAAGGATCGGATCTCTCAATCCGAAACCCAGAGAACAGATTTCGGATAATCTGTGCCGATTAAGTGGTACGAACAATCCTAAACGGAGTTGTACCCACGGCTAAGCTCACAATAGCTTGACTTGTGGGTACCTAAACATTTAGTATTTTAATATTAATTTAATGCAAATGTATACATACCCGATAATATTAAACAGAAAAAATAAATATATTCAATAAAAATTTTTGTTTTAACAAATGTATAATGTTGCAGCTCGGTAAATACGTCAACACTGAAATGAAAATCAGTCTAGCATAGGGAAAATCGGGGAATTACACTGCGAAATGGCGAATTGCACAGCGGCATTATTGTGAATCGGCGTAAATTGAGCTGGTGTAAACCGGGGACTACCTGTATTGTTTTTACTTTCCTGGCTCTATTATACATAACAGAGGACAAGTATGGCAATCGGTCAAAAAATGATTCCCAAGATTTTTACATTTTTGGACATGGGACCCTGAAATGTAAAGAAATGAAAAAAAAAATTTTCGGTTTTTGCTGTGTATGTGGATGTTAACGTGTTAGGGGGGAATGATTTTGTTCACCCTCTTTGAGGCTTTATAACTCCTGTGCTTTGTCAAAAATTTCAGAAATTTTGCAGGAAGGTTTGTGTATTAGATGCTATTAAATTTTGATAGTTAAAGGTTGGGCGAGGAGCTATAGGATCTTGTCATATTTTGAGTAGGGTCTGACTTAGTGATGATTTCACTTGTTAGCATTTACAATTTTTTTTATAGAACCCATCCCTACCCTCATAATTAACCTTTTTGCAATAATTAAAAATATAAATTTTATATAATAAAATATCCTAACAGATGGTGGCACACACGCAGTTTTAAATGTCGCACATAAAGTTAATTTCTTTTGTCTGTTACTCAGTCGAAAAAGCCACAGTAAGATCTATATGAAGAGTACTATTGAATGATGAATCCCATTTGGAAAAAGACATGTTAAACATAACATCATCTGAATATTGCATCTATTCTAATGTAAGTTGGACATAAGTTATTAGAAGCCTAAATTACAGTGCTTAGCCCTGGTTGTGGCAGTAATATAGTATTAAGATGAAAGATTTCTTAATTTTGTAAAGATTTTTCAAGGATACTAATCATGTAAGGATAATTTAACTAATCATTTGACAGTTTTTTATATTAGATATTCAATGGATATATTTGAAATACTACATCTAATTTTTTAACAGTATAAAAATGAACCTGCTTGATTTAAGATTAATTGTTGGGAAACTGTTTTATGGTATTAGTAAGTTCAGTAAATAGGAGAAACAATTTATAATTGGAGAGCAAAAAAAATTCTGTTTGTATACCTTCTTCTGAGAAAGAATTTAATTACGTCTGGCTTATTAGAAGTGAAATTAGTGCGTTTTGTATCCCTTGGATTGAAGAGAGTATACCAGAGTAATTAGTAGTAATTTAATTTACGAAAAACATATGACCTGTTCTGCTTAAGTGCATGTCAAAGAATTGGATTGCATGTCATTATTCTCATATTCAAGAATAAATTTGATAATCATATCATATAATTATATTAATAAGACACATTCTTTGTGCATGCCTTGCTATACTAATAAAATATTGTCTTATATATAGACATATTGCTAATTATTATATTCAGTTTTCTTTTCATGTACTAGCTCTTGTCTATAGCATCCTTTTA